GCCCTGAGAATTAACTTATGATCTACAAGCCATATTGGGGATTTTCTGTTCTTTGCATCCTAACAGCAGCTCTTAAAGAATATCCACATCAATGACAGTTCTAAACACAGAAACACATTATCTTCTGAAGTAGGGATTTGCTAAGAATTTTTTTTGCCAAACAAACATTTATTTAAAAAGCACCAAAGGAACTAAATTTTGGAAATAAACAACTATTTAAAATATGTACTTCTGTAATACTTTGGAAAGAAAATATGCATTCATTAAATAAATTTAAAAAACCTACTAACCTCTGAAGTTGCTATTTCAGTGAAGGTACTTAATGCTCGCTCAACGTTAGCTTTCTGTTTAGTTGCCATTAAGCAATAGTTCTCCATTATTCGAAGCTGTATGTGACCTTGGACAGTCTGAGGCTTTAGTTCTTTGAGGAGTTTTTCAGCTGTTCTCACAGCTAACTGCACAGATTCTTGTTTCTCTGTGGAATTACTATATGAAAAAAACAAACGATATAACTCTCTATCCATAAACATACACACACACACACACACACACACACACACACACACACACACACACACACACAGAGAAAACCACTCCCTCCTGCCTACTAAATAAGGTTTGCTGAAATTGGAATCAGATCATCGTGTAAGTGGCCTTGTTTTAAAAAATAGGCCACTTAGTGTTTTCCTAATATAAAGAACATAGTAAAGAATGTTGAGAATGTTTTTAAGACAAGATGAACTCAGCTCTTAATGAGAAAATATTCATCAATTCTGATTTCCTATGGAATAAAAAGACAATTTATGTGACGTTTGTGTGTATGGTAACACTTCTGTATTATGAATGTTAGTTTAGCAGATGTTATAAACTAGGGAAATTAGCAAGCTAATATTATTAGGATGGAAATGATAGGATAAATATTAGTAAAAATGGTAAATTCCTCATATGTGACATTGTCAAATAGTGTGCCTATTTAGGTAGCAATAGCATTTTGGTCATTAACAGGTTATAGATTTCAGATGCAATAGAACATGGAATGCTCAATGACATTTTACTTACTAAATATTTTGTAAACAAAATTTATTAAAACTGCTCTTGAAAGATTCCAATGGTCTCCCTTTCACCAAACCCAATGGGTATTTCTCAGTCCTCATTCTCCCTGATTTCTCTGTAGTACTTAACCCTGTTAAATACATCCCCCCCCCCACTGTTAAACTTTGTCCCTGTTTCTGGGATAATACACTATCCTGGTTCTCTACCTTTCTAATTATTTTGTTTGTTTGTTTTCTCTCTCTTTTGTTCTTCTTCAATGTTTGCTTTACCTAAGACTTGGTCCTTGGCCATTTGTTTTTTTCTTGAAACTCTCAGCATTGGGTATCTCAAGATTTCTCATTCATTCTCACTGCTGCAATAATCATCTATATGCAAATGACAACCAAATCTTTATCTTTAGCCATGACCTCTTTTCTAAAGAGTTCTGATTCTGCATTTCCATCTAGCTACTGAACATTTCCACCTGGATGTTACTTCACAAGGAACATTATACCCTCTCACATACCTATACTTTCCTTTCCACTGCCAAGGTTGTGACTTTATCAGGTCTTTACCATCTCATGACTTGACTAATGAAATAACCACTCAATTAGTTTCCTTTTCAACCTTCAACCTATTTTGCATATTATTATCAGATTGCTTTCTAAAAACACAGCTTTTATCCTATCATTTCCCTGCTCCTTGAATTTCCTGTCCTGCTATTTAATGGACAATGGCCCCTGTCTCCAATCTCCCTTTTCAATCTAACCTCCTATTCTTCTTCTTCATCCCTGACTTATTCTAGCTAGGCTGATCTAGTTGGGCTCCCCAAGCAACACTTCAGCATACTCACCTGTGTGGTTCTGCCATTTCTCCCCACGTGAAATATCCTTCTAACTCCTATCCATCTTCCAAAGTCCAGTTCAAGTCTTACCACCTTCCTGCAAAATCTTCCTCAAGCACTACAATCCACAGAAGTCTCTTTGCATTCTGAACTCACTTCTTGTCTTTAGATTAATTTTGGTACTTAATTAAATATTATCTTCCAATGTTACTGAATTATTTAATTTATTTCAATTATTTCAACTAGATGGGATGCTTCCTGAGGTCAAGGATCATTTCTTATATTTTTTCTGTGTTCTTAATGACGCTTTATGTTGGAGAAACGAAAACACATGATATTGACTATTTCTGACTGATATTTGGCTACTATTTAGATAAGAATGTAATAACTAAAAATTCTACAACTTACCCTGTTTTGTTTCCAAACTAAATCTATTTTAATTCAATATATGATTGAATGCCTACTATGTATAAGGCAGTATGTTCAGTGATGCAGGGGATGAAAGATGTATAAGTCACAGTACCTTCCTCAAGGAATTTATAATCTAATGGGCAGATAACATAAGATCACAAAGAACTGTAACTCAAGTCAAAACAAATTAAATCTAAATAGATGTAGAAAAAAAGCTATGAGAGTTCCAGGGATAGAGAGCTAACACTTTAGTGGGGGTAAGGATCAAAGAAGGACGAATAGAAGAGGTGGCATTTAGGAAGGTACTTGGACGAGAAAGCACCAGAAAGATCATATATAAAGATGTGAACAGAGGAGACCTCAAAATACTCAGCAAGTTTGGTTTAATTGAAATGTGGAGTACTGAAAAGTTAAGTGGTATGAAATTACGACAGAGAAACAAATCTGAATTCCAGGCTAAAGAATTTGGACTTTATTCTACAGGCAATGGGAGCCACTTAAGACCTTTGAACAAGCAAGTCCCAGGATTAGAGCTGTTCTTCTGGAAGATGAATCTGGCAGTGACAGCTAATTTTTACAATTAAAGTCTGTTCTGATTCAGTGAAACTCCAAATACTTTCTCTGTCTCTGGTCCACTGACCAAAAGGTCAATTATTCAGTTGAGACCAGCTTTTCTGACCTTTTGGTAGTGCTCTCACTAGAACTTTACTTTTCCTTGTACAATGGCTCCATATCTCTCTCCTAGCCAAGCTGTTAATAATGAAAAGAATGACAGATTTTCAGTGACTCACCCTAGGTCTCCATCCAGATTTTCAAATACTTCACCTCCAACAGTTTCATTATCTGGGTTCAAACAGATTTCTATCATGTTATAAATGGCATTTTGACCCCAGTCACTGTCTTTCCGGGCTTTATTAAAATGTCGAAGTGCATCATTTGGTTCTCCAGTATACCTTGGTGGGTTAAAAACAACAAACAACAAAGTATTTATTGCTTTTTTCTTTCAAATATCCAACTACTATGATTAAACTTTCAATTATAAATCTTTATTTTGTGTATTAAATATAAAGTGTAAGAATATTTCACAATGTTCAGATTGTACAATAAAAAAGTAAGTTTCAGTTTAACACAATGGTAGAATTAAAAGAAACCATTACAAAGTAAATTTATTTACCAAAGATAAAGTCCTCTACAGTATTGAAATCCTGGCTCAAATTTGGCTCTGGCATTATGTTTCTCAGCCATCAAAAGAAATCTTGGAACATCTTCAAGTTTTCCAGCTCTTCTTAGTAGATCAATTAAACGAGATAACGTTGTGTAATTGTCTGGCAAGACACAATATTTAAGATTTGAACAAAATGATAAATGAAGTGTTAAATGTACTTGAAAGTATATTTCAAAGGTAAACATGAAAGCATATTATGATGGATGGATAAAAATGTATTATTGGATGACTGGATGAACCACTGGATGGGTATGGGTTAATTATATTGGTAGCCAGCCTATCCTGGCAGTCAAAGTCTACACCATCAAATCTGGAAGTTATATCTTCACTGGGAATTGTCACTCATTTCTCTGCTAGGGCCACTGGCCTTTAAGCATATGAGCCACATTTCACTTCGGAATAACTCTTCAATATTTCCATGCTACAGAATTTAGGATCTATGTGCCACATCACTTTTGACCTCAAAGTCCTCTTTCATATTTATGTAAATGTATTCACATGTTCATATGTTGTATAGAATTATAAATGTACATATATTTATAAGTATATATATTTGACAGTTTATATTTACACTAAATGGAAGGTTAAGGATACTTGCTGTCTAGAAAGGGTTTGACAGGTAACTTTGCTGCAGCTGACAATATCTGATAGCTGGCAAGCTAGGAGTTCTATTTTCTTATCCTCTTTCAGACACTTACATACAAAGCATATGAGATAGATGTCAACATATAATCAACACTTTTATATCTATTTTTTTCTTTTTAGACAATCATAATTGATCTCCGTCCTCTTCCACATAAAATAATTAACTCAGTTTTCTTAATATAACAAAGTTTTATTCGCAAGAAGCCATCCTTGATTATTTATATTTTTGATGACTGTACTTCTATTCTGAGTATTCAAATATTTTTATTCATTTCTTCAGTATTTAAACATACAGATGTTACACAAAATAAATTAATACTCAACTTTATCATGTTTGTAATTTTTAAGTTTCTTCATTTGTGCATATTGTGTATCTCTGGCTAAAGTAAATGGAAGATAACATCTACTTTTGTATAAGCAGCTGGTACAATACTATAGACAGTCATGATTTGTGAATATTACCAACTGACCAACCCAATTTTCTGTGTCAAGAGAGGTTGGGCCAGTATTTAAAAACAAAAACAACTTCTACTGTTGCAAATTCTTGGATGAAAGGAACTTCCTGTAACTTCCCTTCTCTTCTCCAAGAAGCCATTGCAGTAGGGTATCTACTGGAAGCTATTAAGTGATATGTACATATTAAGTGCTGGGTGTCCCAAAATATAAGGTCATTCATAAATGGAAGGAACTAGAGTAGAGTTTCTTTACCATTTTTACCTCTATTTGGAAATCTGGTGAAGTCTATGAACCATTTCTTAAGACTTTTTTAATGCAAAAAATAAGACACATAGTATAACAAAGGAAACTGATTTCATTGAAATTCAGATATCAAACTTTTTTTTTAGCATTTAAATTATTTTTATTAGTGAGACTTTAAAAATAGGGAGTGGGTTGCAGAATTGGCAGGCCCACTGCCCCTACTGATAATAAAGCTCCAGGTTCATTCCATCATGGATCTCATAATCACCCAGGGAAACATGGTCCTGGAAGATTGTGTACCATTTCTTCAGAACAATCTTGTTCCAATGGGTGCCTGTCTGAGCCGCAATCAGTTTCTTCAGATCTCCTATCGTGTCATCCGTGTTGTACTTCACACAGACCTTCTTGCCCAGCCGGTCGTTACACACAACCTCAATCATGGTTCTGGGGACCACAAAGGATCTGAAAAGTCTGGGCTCGGGTCTTTCTTCCAGCCCACCTGGCCTCTTTGCCAGCTCTCAACCCTGTTCTTGCTCCCCTTCGCCTTCAGGCACAGCCCCTGCCTCACCCAAAATATTTTTTAAAAGCAAGATCATGGAACCCATTAAATCTATCCATAGATGCTTTGGGTCCATGGACCCAAAGTTAAGACCTATGGTCTAGAAGATCTTATTTTAGCCTTGGAAATTCTTTAATTTGAATTCTAAGCCAGACATTCCATGATGGTGACAAATACCTTTGGTAAGTATATATCTTCCTATTTTATGTTTCATGTAATATAAATAAGAAGGGGATGAAACAAGGTTATAATTGTTATGTCTTTCAGGAACTATTATATAATTCACTTACATGGGAGACACATTGTTAAAAGAAAGCCCTTAATGTGGCCTTTTACTCTATAAAGCAAATGCTTTTTAAGTTAACAAACAATAAGCACTATACGATTTTGTATTCTTTAAAACTTTTGGTCAATTATTAAGATATTGGGGGCTACAGAATATTGTTTGTAAAAGCACTCCTGTTCTCTCCTGATACTTTCATCAAGGATGCTATGTATGTATAATCTTTATATACATGCAGATCATTCCCATAACATTCTGTAGTGGTAAGTCTCACAAAAGGCAATGAGAAATGCTGATGCATGGTAGACATGAATATAGTGCAAAGCATTTGCTTAGAATTCAAATTAAAGAATTCTTTAAAACTTTTGGTCAATTCTTCCGTTGTTAAGATGTATTGAGGGATCCCCTGTAAAGGACTTACAGAAGGATGTGCACAAGAATCACACAGAAATAAAAGATCGCAGATTCAACGAAGATTCAAAGTAGAATTTTTGGTTTCAGATTAAGAGGTCAGTCAGTCAAGCATTTATTAAGCAAAAGGAAAGTGTCTTAGGAGTACTGTGCCTCTGATTACTATAGCTACTTCATTAGATTGTAAGATCCTTAAGGCAGGGACTGTTTTGCCTCTTTTTGCATCCTCAGTGCCTAGCACAGTGCCTGGAACATTGCTATTGTTTTGGATGGCAGACAGATAGTCTTGGTTTCAAGATAGTCTCTGTCTATCACCATTTTTACTTACTCTAGTAGTCTGCCACTCATAGGCCCCTGTCCTTCCTGTGTTGTGACAAACATCATTAAGGTTTTTGGTGGATAATTATATGGCATCTCTTTTATGAAGAGATTTGTTTCCAACAGTTCTTATGTGATTTACTCTGTCTTCTAGGTTACATAAAATCACTGATATCTAAGGTCAACCCAAACCCTAACTTCCTGAATTACTAAAGCCTTGTAATATTGCTAAAAAAGCAAAATGTAATAGTGAGAGAGCACTGGATATATACTTAGAAGAACTGGGCTTGAGTTTCAGCTTTGCCACTTACTAACTAGCCATTTTGCTTTGAGTAAATTACTTAATCTCTTTATCTCCAAGTTTACTTAATTTTCCACAGATTAAATAAAATCTGGAACTGTATGTCGTTTCAATTTCAATATAAAGATGCTGAAATCTTACATTTAACAACTAACCATGTCTGCAAAGTACTTTAAGCATTTTTCCTCATTTGATTTTCACAATAACCCTGGAAAGTTGCTACTTCAAATAAGATCTCCATTCTACATATAAGTAAATAACATCATGGGGGAAAAAACCTATTAAACTTGATTGACATGGTGTTTGTTGTTGTTAGACGGTACGCTTAAAGTAAGATCTTTTAGACAGCTAGAAGGAGTTAAATCAGACAGAAAATAAGTCTGAAATAGTTATGCAGCTGAAGAGAGGGCAGTGGTGGATAGAGGTTGGCTGGGATGAACAGAATATTTTGTAAACATATACAATCCTGCTACATAAGTTTTACATTTTGTTTACAAATGAGTATTAGTCAAAATACCCTCTCTTCTCTAGATTTTTGCAACAGTGCTCTTTCTTGGTTCTCTTTCTACTTCTATGACCATTCCTTCTCTGTCTCCTTTGTTGCATCTACCTCCACCCCATGAACACTACCAACATATGTCCCACAAGGCTCTGTCCCTGGTCCTTTCTCTTTTTGCTCTACACTCTTTTATTTGCTGATTCCATCAGGTTCCACTGGTTCAATTATCATGTCTATGCAGATTATTTACATATTCAGCCCTATTTAGTCTCTTTCCCGAGCTCAAGTCCTTTATCACCAACTGCCTTTCAGATATCTTGAATTGATGTCCTATAGGCATTTCATACTTAATATACATAAAACAGAACTCTTTATCTTTCCTCCCAAACCTTTCCCTCTTCTCAACTTCCCTGTTACTGACAAGGTCACTACCATCTTCCTAGGTAGCTGGTGGCACAGCAGATTGAATTCGGGCCTTGAGACAGGAGGATGAGTTCAAATCCCAGACATTTAAAGCTGTGTGATATCAGGCAAGTCACTTAACCTCTACCTGAGTTAGTTTCTGCATCTGTAAAATGGGGATAAGAACAGTACCTACCCTCTTAGGTTTTTGGTAAGGATCAAATGTGAGAATATCTGTTAAGGTGCTTAGCACAGTGCCTGGCATGTAGCAGATGCTTAATAAATACTTGTTCCTTTCCCTTCCCCTAATCACACAAACATGGCGTCATCCTTCACCCTTCACTCTCAGTATCAAATCTTGTTTCTACCTTTACAACATTTCTTGTTCATATTCCTTCTCTCTACTCATACCACATATTAGTTCAGGCTCTGACCATATAATACTCTCCTTTTAAAATAAACTCCAAGATCAAATAAACTGCTCTGTTTGACATATAAAGGTCTTCATAACCTGGCCCCTATGTTATTGTTAAGGAGACCTTTCTAGTCTCCTTACACTTTATTTCTCTCCGTGTACTATATGATTCTGCTACAATGGCCCACTTGCCGTTCCCACACTCCATCTTCTGTCAGTTTCCCTGGCTTCCTCCAAGGCGGTTCAAATTTCACCTTCTTCAGGAGGCTTCTCCTAGTCCTTTCAGCTACCTGTGCCTTCTACCTACTCTATATCTATTTCGCATGTACCTATTTATACTCTGTCTTCTCCATAAGAATGTAAGTTCCTTGAGAGTAGGGGCTAGTTTCACCTTTATTGGTATTCCTAGTATCTAAGTAGTTGTGCCTGGCACATATTAAGCACTTCCTAAATGCCTGTTGACTATTCAGTTATACATGCCTAAGGTAGCCAACTCACTAAGCCAAAGCTGCTAATATTTGGAACCATTTCTACCTGGGTGACAGGTAGTGAGATACAACTCCTAAAACTGAAGGGAAGTAAATAAAACTCCTAAAAAAGGTTAAAAGATGAACGGCAGAGAATTATTACAAATGGTTTCAAAATGTACAGGAAGTATATAGGTCTGATTCTTTTAATTAAGCAGTGAAGTTACATGCTTTACCTAAAAAAGTATCTCTGAATTAGGACAGATTGGGGGTAAATACAATGATATCACATACATCTATCCCCTTCAGAATTCACTGATATACTAGGTACAACATGGAAAAAAAAGAAAAAAAGGGAAAAGGGTAAGAAGAGACTTAAAGAGAGCAGATGGCAGGACAGCTGACATGATGGGAGAAAATTAAAGTTGCTTAGAGGTATTTAGCCCTCAGAAAGTAACAAAAGTGGTAAATAATTAATACTTATATTTTCCATAGCAGCCTATTAAAAACTGAAACAGTCAAAGCTAGAAGCTTTAAAAATGACCTCAGGCACCTATAGGCATGACAAATGACAGTCCAATGGATAGGTATCAGTGACCTCTTTGATGAGGGAACTCCTGTTCATCTTGTACAATTCTTATCCACATCCTCCCACAAGATTGCCACAGGGGATCCACCCAAGGTGTTAGAAACCTTTCTCTCAGAGATATCAGTGGAACAGGAAAGAAATAATGAGGGAAATGGAAATTAAAACAATGAAATGGTTAGTAATGAACTACTTCAAATTTTTTTTCCTTCTTAGTCTTTATTTTAACTGGACCTTTTCATGGTTGAAGATAGAAGGCATCAATAACAACTGACCTATATTATTTACTTTCTCATCTCTATAAAAAACTTTATAAAAAGGATCAATGTATCAATAATGAAAACATGAGAAAAGGTTAGGCTTTCATGGATGACTTTTAAAAAATATTTTTATTTTGTTAAATATTTCCCAATTACATATAAAAAATTTTAAACAATCATTTTAAAAACAATTTGAGTTCCAAGTTCTTTCCCTCCCTCAAATTACAAAACAATTTGCTATCAATTATACATGTGAAGTCATGCAAAACTTATTTGTATATTAGCAACATTGCAAAAGAAAATAGACAAAAAAGAAAAAAGAAAAATAAAGAAAGTAAAAAAAAGGATGCTTCAATTTGCATTCAGAGTTCATCAGTTTTCTCACTGGAGGTAGAAAGTATCTTTCATCATGGGTTATTTGGAATTCCTGGATCATTGTCTTGATCAGAGTAGCTAAATCTTTCACAGTCGATTACTGTTATAATATTGCTATTACTATGTACAATATTCTCCTGGTTCTGCTCACTTCACTTTGCATGAGTTCATATAAGCCTTCCCAGGTTCTTCTGAAACTATTCTACTCATCACTTCTTACAGCACAACAGTATTCCATCACAATCATATGTCAAAACTTCAGCCATTACCCAAATGATGGGCATCCCCTTAATTTTCAATTCTTTGCCATCACAAAAAAGAGCTCCTGTAAATATTTTTGTACAAATAGGAGCCTTTCTATTTTCTTTGGGATACAGACCCGGTAGAAGTATTTCTAGGTCAAAGGGTATGCACAGTTTATAGCCCTTTGGGCATAGTTCCAACTTGTTCTCCAGAATTGCTGGACCAATTCACAACTCCAATGACAGCGCATTAGTGCCCTTATTTTTCCAAATCCCTTCCAGCATTTGTAATTTTCCTTTTTTGTCCTGTTAGTCAATCTGATAGGTATGAGATAGTATCTCAAAATTGTATTCATTTGCATTTCTCTGATCAGTAAT